TACAATGAACATAAAACACATAGGTATTTAATCATATTTAACTATATTATAGTTTTTTAATTGAAAGAAAAGAAAATATTATCTAAATTTTTAAATCGAATAATAGTAGAGAAAAAAAATAGATATATGAGATAAGAATTAATATTGAGTTTTTTTAATGTGATTATGTACAATTTTTTTAAAACACAATTTTTAACTCAACTTTAATTACTTAATTAAAAATTATTATAAAACTCAAAAGTTGATAAAAAAAATAAAATATCTAAACTTTAATATAAAAAACTTAAAAAAAACCGTGCAACACACGGACAAAACAAAAACTAGTTTGAAATATGATATAATACATAGTGAAATTATCCAACCCAACAAAATCAAATTAGAGCCGTGTTAACTCAAAGTGACATATGAAAATTAATTAATTTAATTAATTATATTTTTAATTTTAATTTTTAAATATAAAATAAATTTTATATAACATAATTTATAAAATAAATTACATTTTTAATAAGATGGTGATATAAGAATAATTTTTTATATCATCTTTTCATATAATTTTTACATATCATTAAATAAATAAATATATTTAATATCATAAATTTTAAATAAAAAAATCAATTATTTAAACAACACCTAAAATTATATTAAATAATAATAAAAAATTTACTTCTAAATTATTTTTTTAATATATAATCTATCTTGTACTACATAAATCCCTATTCATATTCATTTTAGCTTTTTTTTTTCCTTCCAAATTCATTCTAGTTGCTTTAAGCTTTTCTTCTGTAATTTTCATTTTAAAAATTTGTTAGTTTTTATTATTACTTTTTTTTACAATAAAAAATTTTAAATTAAGTTAATACCTATTTCTTAAAAAAATTAAACCTATAATTAATATATATTTTATTTACTATCTAATAATCTAATAAATAGTGTGACCACCACAAAATCACGTGAGGATTGCAAATTTGTTAGTTCTTATTCATTTAGTACCGCATAAATACAAATTATTTATAAAATCGCGTGGTGTGTGTGTGCTGTGACAGCCAAAAAGAAACACTTTGAAATTACCACCTAGGAGTAGTGAGTACTACTTTAGTACTACATTGCTTATTTTATTTCGTTTTAGGGGTTAAAAAAATTATAAAAGGAGGAGAATTCCACGTCCTAAGTCCGAATGCAAGAAAGTAGTAGATGGAGAAACAAGAAGGACAGAAAGGAGGGAAAGAAGCAAGCATCTTCGCTTTCTTTCTAGGATAAAAATTTAGAGTCAAGATATGAACAGAGGGATGCCTAGTGTACCTCTATAGACCCCTTCATTGGGGATTTTTTTTTTTTTTTTTTGCCTTGCTTTTATTGGGAAG